TACTTGTTTTGCATTGTTGTTGTTGTTGTTGTTGTTGTTATTACTACTACTTGTTTTGTTTTGTTGTTGTTATTATTATTATTATTACTACTACTACAATTAAATTTTTTGTTTTCAAAGTTTGCCGGCCATTAAATATTTTAAATAACATATTTAAGAAGGATTTTACGCTCTGTATGGAGTTTACACTTCAGATTTTTACAACACCAATATGACTGGCATCGAGAGAGAGAGAGGAGAGGGGAGAGAGAAAGAGAGAGAGAAAAAGAGAGAGAGAAGATTTTCAACATCAAGTTTGATCCTGTGAGAAAGCTTTACTAATTTGGCATTTAATTTGCTCAAAGTGATGTCCGTGAAGCGTTAGAATTGTGATAGACGATTTAGCGCGAGGAAGAGCCCAAACAACAACAACAACAACACAACAACAACCATCAACAACCAATTAACAACCAACACAACAACAACACAACAACAACAACAACACAACATCAACAACATCTCATTAACCAACCGTAATAATTCCAAACGAAGCGAAAATGGCTGGAACAACAGCCCACGGGCTGTTGAAACTCATGTACTCTACATCGATTTCAAGACATTTCATCTTCATTTCGTCTGGTTTCGTACCATTTGGGCAGCTGAGACAATTCGGCCCTTTTTTAATTTCGTAAGGGCCGCATTTTATGCAGACCCAGCAGCACAAGTCACCCGATTCGGTCTTTTTAATTTCGTCCTTTTGGCATTCCTCGCTGCAGACTGATGTTGGCTGGGATGGGCTCGCCTGTTTCCAACGAGTCAAGTGCAAGTTCAACTCCAATCTGATTGGTTGGTTGGTTGATTGGTTGGTTGGTTAGTTGGCTGGTTGGTTGATTTGTTGGCGGGCTGGTTGATTGATGAGTTAGTTGATTGGTTGGAAATTAGTTGGTCGATTGATTTAAGGGTTTGTTGGTTGATTGATTGATTGGTTGATTGGTTGATTGAATGATTTGTTGGCTGGTTGGTTGGTTGATTGGTTGGTTGGTTGGTTGGTAAGTATTTTTTCATGGTAATTAAGACAATGAAAATTTAAAAAACTATTCTTGTAAATATAACTTGAGTTGTACGCTATCAGCAACAAAGATGACAATATCAAACCGATGCTAATCTGATCAACAACAACATCGACATTAACAACAACATCGTTTTCAACAACAACAACATCAACAACAATACCAGCAACAACATCAACAACAACATCATCAACAACAACAACAATACCAGCAGCAACAACAAAATCAACATTAACAACAACATTGTTGTCAACAACAACAACATCAAAAACAACATCAACAACATCAACAACAACGACATCAACAACATCAACAACGACAACACACTTATTTGATTTCCACGACCCAATTGGCAAATAATCATATGATACAACTTTCTGATCTTTATACAGTTGTTGTTGTTGTTGTTGTTGATGATGATGATGTTGTTGTTGATGTTGTTGTTGCTTTCTCTGGTACTGGTAAATTGTGTATCTCCCTTGTGGGTCACCATTTTTATCGAAAAATATCCTTTGTCCAGCGGTCCCTAAAATTATTATGATAAAATCACAATAATTATTTAATTATAATCATAAAAAATTTAATTATATTTATTATTTATTTATATTTAATTATGTTTAAGTATTTAATAAACAATGGTGTAGAGGTAGGGCGTATGGTTTGGCTTTTACAGCGTCCGGGTTC